TTCTCTCTTCCTCTCCCCTGTTCACATTCTTTCTCCCTCCCCAAATAAATAAATAAACTTTAAAAAATAAAAGAGATTGTAGAAAAATGGTATTTTTTTTTTCCTTATAGTTTAGTAGACTCACCAGCGATCCCATTTAGGCATGGTGTTTTCTGTTTGGGAAAATTATGGATTATTGACTCAATTTATTTAATAGATATAGGCCTGCTCCGATTATCTATTTCTTCTTGGTGAGTTTTGTATCTTTTAGAGAATTGGTCTATTTCATTGAGGTTATCAAAGTTATAGGCATAGGGTTGTTGATAGTATTCCTTTATTATCTTTTTAATACTCATGGGATCTGTAGTGATGTCCCCTCTTTTATTTCTGATATTAGTAATTTATGTCCTCTCTTTTTTTTCTTAGTTAGCCTGGCTAAGGTTCTGTCAATTTCATTAATCTTTTCAAATAGCTAACTTCATTTTATTGATCTTCTCTATTGAGCCCCTGTTTTCAATTTCATTGATTTTTGCTCTAATTTGCATTCTTTTTTAACCCCCTGCTTCAGATTTTACTCCTGTTTTTGTGGTTGCCTACAGTGGAAGCTTAGATGAATGATTTTATGTCTTTCTCTTCTCTAATGTATGCATTAAATGCTATAAATTTCCCTCTGGTCAATTAAACTTTGATAAAACCCCAGCCAGTTAGAATCTGGTTAAATGGTTTCATCCTAGGGCATACCTTGATAAGAAGAACAGAATGTTTTGGCCTATTTCAAAATGGTTTCTTTTCTCCTCCCTCTGCTGGGAGCACAAGGGGATTTTTCTCTGATATTGACTGTGCAAACCTGGTACAGCTTCAGGAAGTAAAATTCACACAAGTATAGGGGCTCCCTGATGACCATGGGTAAGCTTCACCTGGAGCTGGTGAGCTCCAGCAATTTGTCAACTACAGTTCAGGTTTTCCTACCTTGACACTGGTTCCCATGGAGGTTACTTCTCTGATTGGTTGTGATTCTCTGTATTCATTTGTTGGTCTCTCCAATTTGGGGGCATGGGAGGCAGTGATTTTTCTCTGTGACATCACTTTTTTTATGGATCTAAGAAGAATTGTTGAACTTTTACTTTGTTTAGCTTTTTACATAGAATGGAGTGGTGACTTCCAAGCTCTTTATATATTAGATCAGAGTTTAAAAAACAATTAAATAACTGATATTGTGCTAAAACAATCTAATAGGAAAAATCATAAGGATCTATACTTTATAAGTGTAAATCTAAGATATATGGGCCATAAATAAAAAGAAAGGAATATCACTGTATACTTTCTAAATGAGGTCTATCTACAAATTGTCTAATTGTCAACCACTGTCTTTTTTAAAACCCAAATTTAAAATAGTAAAAATAACAAATGCATTTAAAACCTAGTGCCTAGATTTTGGTCTGAAATGCTATTCTCCATTAAAAAGAACTAAGAGTTCTTGGAGAATAACTGATTCCATTACCTAGAGATTTAAAAGAGAGAGAGAGAAATTTCAAGGTGGGACTAAGTCTTGTTCAAAGAATAAAAGATTTTTAAAAGGCTTTTAAAATTCTGGATGGTCTTAAAAATCATAATCAACCTTTACCAATAGCCAAATATGACAATTTGACCATCAAAAATAAACAAATTATAGTTACTTAATTTTAGGTTAAGAATAATAAATCGGATTTAATTGTTGCTTCATAATGTACATCATCACTCCCTAAGAACCTCACAATATGTTAGGAGAAAATAGGGATCCTCCTTTACCACAGAGCTAGTTTTTACATTTTTACTTTATAATATTTGTCATGTACAAATGATGCAGATATTTGTATATGTAAGTTATGAATCATAACACAAATTGTACATATCCATCACCCAAAATTAGAGAGAGACAGAGAAAGAAAGAGAGAGATACAACTTGGCAGTTTCTTTGGTGCTCTCTAATGGCTTGCTCCGATGTAATGAACAGAATTAAACAAAAATGATCTTGGGTGTTCTCTCTGTCTTTTCTTGGGGAACCAGGCAATATGGCCTAGATCTCTTGTCTCCCCATAGGAAGGACTACATCTGAACTCAGCTGGCCATGGTACTATTACTTTCTTCCAACTAAAGCTCTCCACGCGAGTCAAGGTATCAAGTCCCCAGATACTGGGTAACTGACTTTCTTGGACAGGTCTTATAGTTGCATCTAAACCAAGACAAGTGCCCCAGTGACTTCCCTACTGACAAGATTCCTTCCATGTTTGCCCTGTAGGAAGGGAGAGCCACAGAAGGATGGGATTCCTCTCCTATAATGCAAACTCACACTGAATATCCAACACAGTGCTCTGGCCCCAATGTACTTCTCTCTTGAGATGATGGCACAATGGGGGAAACTATGTTTTTCTCCTTAGTTTTGTAAGTAAGATTCCTTTTTCATCAATAAAACCTAGCCCTTAACCTAGTAGGGTTTTTTTTTTTTTTATGTTTGTTTACTGAGATACCCAATGTTGTGTGTTCTACCTTGCTCAGTAAATAATGCACTCATCTTGTTCAAGTACATGGTTCTCTGTGGTCTTTGGCTGAAGGGTATATATATAAAATATCTTAACATTTCTTGTGCCTTTTGGTAAACACCAGTTCTTAATTTTAGTTCAAGTTTTCAATGTTTTCTCTTTATAGTTGGTGATTTTATGTCATATTTAAGAATTCCTGTCTGGGGCGCCTGGGTGGCTTAGTCGGTTAAGCATCCGACTTTCGCTTACGTCATGATCTCGCGGTTCGTGGGTTCGAGCCCCGCGTCGGGCTCTGTGCTGACTGCCAGCTCAGAGCCTGGAGCCTGTTTCGGTCTGTGACTCCCTCTCTCTCTGACCCTCCCCTGCTCACGCTGTCTCTCTCTCTCCTAGAAATAAATAAAACATTAAAAAAACAAAGAGTTTGGTATATTTAAAAAAAAAGAATTCCTGTCTTATTCTAAGATCATATGGATATATATTTTAATATTTCAAACGTTGTCTTTAGTTCATCTGAAACTCATTTGTATGAGGTCATTTGCATGTAGAAATCTAATCTCATTTTCTCCCATGTGGTAACCATTACTCCTAGCAACAATGTATTCAATAGCCATTCCTTTCTGTGCTTTTTCCCACTTACATGCAGAGCCATCTCTGCCATTTATCAAACTTCTATTTATGTATGGGTTAAATTATAGCTTTTTTGTTTTTAAACTGTAATAATAGTTTAAGACTTTAAGACTGAATGTTTCAAAGGTTGTGAAATACTGTTCAGATAAGTACATAAAACATAAAACAATGTGTAAAAGTTAATGTTTTAAATTGGTCTCAATTGATGCAATGATTCAGTAATAAACTTATCAAGTTTTTTACAGGGTAATTCATTCAGAGTGCAGAAAGTTTAGTAAGACTATGGTAGGCTGGAGAACCATTTAACTGCAGAGGTGTGCATGTGCTTAACAAAGTGATTGCTAACAGATTTTTTAAAGCCCCAAAGAACACAAAATATCTCTTTTTCTATCTTCCATAGATACATTTCCTCACTTTTGTTTTTACACAGAGAATCTAGACTTTAACATTTTATATTAAAGAAATGCATAAATCCTCTCTCTTGGAGCACATGAAAGTCCGAAACAAAATGGTACGAGTAAGAATAGAACCAAAGGGGAGAGAATGACAAAAGTGAGGACATGGATAAAGAAGTCTAAGAATGGCTCCTGGTATTCTAAGTTAGAGAACTTGAGATGATGAACTCATAACAAAATTGGGTAAAGTACTGAGGGTTGTCCTGTTTGAGGGAAAAGATGATTTTTTTTTCTCTCAAGTCTACTGTTCCTAAACTTTACTCAGGGAAAATTTCCGGAGGTTTTAAATTTGTGTTAAAGGCCTGCAAAAGTCAAAAGTTAAAACTTCAAGTCCAGGGTGACTGGGTGGCTCGGTCAATTAAAAGTCTTTTGGTTTTGGCTCATGTCATGATCTCATGGTTCATGAGTTTGAGCCCCATGTCAGGCTCTGTGCTGACAGCGTGGAGCCTGCTGAGAATCCTCTCTCTCCCTCTCTCTCTGCCCCTCCTCTGCCCTCCCTCTCAAAATAAATAAAGTTTAAAATCCAAATCTGTAGGTGGCAAGTAGTTCATAGGTGCTTACGTTTCATGTAAATTCATCGTGTTCTTTTCTTCTTTTTTAAACATCTCATCCCAGTAACTTATAAACCAAGTCTAGAGAAGGTAGCCCAGAGAAAGATAACTGGAATGGGAGTTGAGATCAGGATTTTAATCACAATTCTGTCACTCCTGTATGTGCAAGGGGGTTAAGTGTATGGACTTCAGATTCCTTAAATATGCAGGATGCACTATATCACTTTCATATCTCCTTCTAGAGCTAAAGTTCTAAGTCTCATTAAGCAATTGTAATATGTACCCATGCAAATCCAAGGTATTCTACAGCTGAGTTGCAATCAAGCATTTGTCGAATGAGTCATAGAGCCATTTCTCCCTAGGTCTCAAACCATGGAGTGAACCCCACCAACATCCTTTCGGTGGCCTTAAGGTTGATTGAATTTGGATCACTACAATAGTAAGGCCAAGCTCCCAGGCCAAGATGTTGGTATGATCAGGAGATTTCCAAAACAGGAACACCAAATGATGCTCTGACGGCCTCCACCGTAACAAAAGGCCAGGGCTGCAAGACACGTGGGCTTCGCACCTGTTTCCTACAGTTCACTCTTTCCCGTAAGGGAACTTTTTTTTTTTTTCCATTCATAAGAGCAAGGTTTTTTTCTTAAGACGAAGTCTTATTTCTTTGGTGATTCACGGCCAGAGAAGTGGCATCACTCGCACCAAGATGCCCAGGAAGTCACAAGAGGAGCTCACGAGGCGGTTACGGGGCGGTGGCAAGGGCGCGCCCGGGGCACGCTGGGAACGCGCGGGGCGCCGCAGCCCGGCCTGACCCGGAAGGGCTGGCGCTTGGTAACCCAGGCTTCCCTAGCAACGGAGCAGGTGCTCGTCCTAACCAGCCGCATCCTCGGGTACTACAGCCTCCAGAGATGCCCCTGCAGGTTAGCGATTACACTTGGCAGCAGACGAAGACTGCGGTGTTTATCTCTGTGCCCCTCCGAGGCGTCTGCGGCAGAGACGCGGACGTGTTCTGCACGGAAAACTATCTAAAGGTAGGAACTCGAGCTGTGCCTGCGGGGATCCTCGGGGGCGTGTCCCGAAGCTTCGGCGGTCGCTGCTGTGTACACTCCACAGGCGCGTTCTTGCAGATAAGCGTCCGAAAATTTAGTCCTATTTTTTTTTAAAACCGAATCCCGTTAGATGACACCTCATCTTTAGACAGATGTCATCAGATCAGAGCTTATTTTTATCCAGGATTTCCTCATATGCCTTGTTAATCCTTTACGACCTCGAGTAAATTTATAGCGGGCACCTAAGAAAATTACTTTGGCCTCCATCCCGTGTTTCCTAAAGGCTTAGTCTTTATTTTGTGTAACTAAATTAACCTTCTTTTATCCCCTTCCGAATAGGTCAACTTTCCTCCATTTTTATTCGAAGTGTTTCTCTATGCGCCCATAGATGATGAGAACAGCAAAGCCAAGATTGGGAATGACACTGTTATATTCACCTTATATAAAAAAGAAGTGGCCATGTGGGAAACCCTTTCGGTGTCAGGTGGTAAGTTTTTTTATTCAAAGGTGTTCATCTGGTTGTGCTTTTTGTATTTTATACCTTTTTAAAAAATTGTTTTTCAAAACAGCTGTTTCTCTAGTAGAAGAAAAAATAGGAACATGAATATGATTTAAATGATACAGTGCTTCAGCTGCCACTTAAAATGAATAGCTTAAAGACCGAATGATTCAAAAGTTAGAACACATTTGTAATAGTTGTCAAGCAGATGCTTGTATCTTCAGAGTCTAAGGGCTCTTGATATGATCTTTATTGAGTACTTATTTTGTATAGGCATTAACACATCTGGTAATCCTAGGCTCACCCTGTTACTTAAGTTACCTCCCTCCTCCGCCACCAGTTTGTTTTTTTTTTTTTAAGGTTACGCTACTGAGGCACAGAAGGGTTGAATAATTGTCACAGGTCAGGCAAGTAGTAACTGGCAGATTGGAACTGGAGCCCTAGCAGTTTGACTCTAGAGCAGTGACTTTGAATTATCTACAAAACTTTTAAATAACACAGATGTCTGAAACTCACCCTAGATCAGTCAAATCAGTTTATGGGAGTGGGTCACAGGTATTGACAGTTTCAAAACAGCTTTCCACGGATTATAATGTGCAAAGCTGAGATCCCCTGTTCTCTGTTCTCTTAATCAGTACTCTGTACTTCTGCCAAGATTGGTTTTGTTGGTCAGTAATTGCCCTCTACTGCTTTACCTCTATGTCCTTCCTCGTTCTAGTTGTAATATATCCTAGGGCTTTATATCTACTGCCTGAAATTTCCCTTAGGGCTCTGGCATTAAACCTTGGGTAGGAGCTACTGAGAATGGGTGGATGCCATTCTTTATATTAATCCTTTGTTGGTATCTTGCACTGGAATTTAATTTTGTAATCCCCAGGACCAGGTAGATTTTTCTCTGAAGTCTGATATTCAGCTCAGAAAATACTGGTTAAGGTAGATTGCCATACTCAGGTTACTTTAATTTTTTAGTGATTGCCAGACTAACTGAAGAGTTTTCTTTTCTTTCCTAACCATGATCTTCCTCTTTGTTTTTTACATCTGCTTTCATTGCATATCTACCTGATTCTTCTTTTTCATGGTCATATGGTCATCCCTTCCACATTTTGACCATTTAAACCAAGGTTTAATAAAATTTTTCCTATATAGGACCAGATAGTATTTTGAATATTATGGGCAATGTGGTCTCAAAAGCAGCCAATAGCCCATTCATACTTATTGACGCTGATATTTGAATTTTACCTTTTTTATATATCACAAAATATTATTTTGATTTTTCAACTATTTAAAAATATAAAAATTATTCTTAGCTTGTATGCTGGAGGATAATAGGCAGGAGGTCAGATTTGGACACAGTTTGCCAACCTCTGAGATGAATCAAAACAGTTTTAAAACTAGCTTTTGTAACAAGTAATGAACACTGATTTTACTTGAGGAACCAGGTTTGAGATTCCTTTAGAAATCAAACTCAGTTACACATGCAATTCAGTGAAATTATTTCTTTATTTTTTTATTTTTATTTATTTTTATTTATTTCTAGGAGAGAGAGAGACAGCGTGAGCAGGGGAGGGTCAGAGAGAGAGGGAGTCACAGACTCTGAAACAGGCTCCAGGCTCTGAGCTGGTAGTCAGCACAGAGCCCGACGCGGGGCTTGAACCCACGAACCGCGAGATCATGACCTAAGCAAAAGTCAGACGCTTAACTGACTAAGCCACCCAGGCGCCCCGAAATTATTTCTTTAAAAATACGATGATTTACATAAAGTATATGGAACTACAGTCCATGTGCCAAGCCTGCCTCACTATTCAAAACATATTTGCTCCATTCTTTCCCCATGAGTTCTTTCTTGGTATATTTTTCATTTTTTAGATGTGAAAGTAGGTTCTTTTAATTAATTTTGCCCCTGAAGCTGGTCCAACTGTCTCCACTCTGTTAGTAACTAGTAGGCGAGTTGGAAGAGGCGTCAGGCTTAATTTTAGTCCGAAACCCTAGTCAAGATCTTGAATGAGTAAAAATTCCATGCTTTTTTTTTCTTTTCATTTTTTTAAATTTTTTATTTTATTTTATTTTTATTTACTTCTAGGAGAGAGAGAGAGATAGAGACAGCGTGAGCAGGGGGAAGTCAGAGAGAGAGGGAGATACAGACTATGAAATAGGCTCCAGGCTCTGAGCTGGCAGTCAGCACAGAGCCCGACGCGGGGCTCGAACCCACAAACCGCGAGATCATGACCTAAGCGAAAGTCGGACGCTTAACCGACTACGCCACCCAGGCGCCCCTCCTTTTTCATTTTAAGACAGGTTTTTTAAAGTTAAAATTCCAGGAGAGCCTGGGTGGCTCAGTCAGTTAAAAATCTGACTCATCTTCATTTTGCCTCAGGTCATGATCTCTCAGTTTGTGGGTTCGAGCCCCATGTTGGGCTCTGCTCTTTCTCTCTCTCTCTCTCCCCACCAAATCAATAAATAGACTTAAAATTTTTTAAATTAATTGTATACTTTTTTTGAATAGCAGGCAAAAGTGGATTACAATATAAGATTAGAAAGGAAGAATAGTAGCAAACCTCTCTTTACAGAGAGGGGACATTTGAAAGTAAATGCCCCTAATTCATTACTTTTTATTTAACCTCCACCTGAAATTTAGCATTCCATTCAGTTATGAATATAGGCAACAAACAACAGTTGTGTCAACAAATATCACAAATACATTTATATCACAAGTATACTTTATTTTGTATACTCACTTTGGAATTTTAGTATTTATTACACTTGTTGCTATATATTATTTAATGCATTAATGAAAAAGCACATATTAGTATACCACAAAAAAAAACCCTCTCTTGTAGGAGACCTCATAGTAATGATTTATTGTGATTAGGTTTATAAGCAAATAGCCCTGGTTTCTTGACAGAGAAGGAGGGGGGATAAATGTGTATTCTTTCCCTCCCGCCTGTCCCCTCCCCTTCTCCACCTCTTCCCGGTCTCTCTTTCCATTACCTCTCTCTCCCTCTGTGTCCCTCTCATCATCATTCCCCATCTTATTCATCCCTCTCTGTTGTTCCTACTTTCTCTCATCCCCTCCCCCCACCCCGCCCTGTCTTTATCTCCTTCTGTAGTAATTTATTGCTGTTACAGTTGCTTGCTTACCTTTTAATGTTAGCTTTTTGGCCAGTTTAATATTGAGAAATGTTTTCATGTCTCCATGTGAAGTTGGGTCCCCCCAAAATCTCATCTTGGATCAGTATGGTGGACAGTTTTTCCCTTAACAAATCATTCATCAAAATCCTAATTTAGTGATATTTCTTATGTTTTAGTTGACAAAGAGATGATGCAAAGAATAAGGGAGAAATCTATTTTACAAGCACAAGAAAGAGCAAAAGAAGCTACAGAAGCAAAAGCTGCAGCAAGGCGAGAAGATCAAAAATATGCACTAAATGTTATGATGCAGGTAAGTTGCAGATTGATAGGAAAGACCTCTAATTAAAGAGATAATAGTAAATTGTGTAAGGATAACTTATTCCAGTCACTGTACTTCCTTGCATCTTTGTTCATGCTTTGGTTACAAGATTTACTATGTTATGTAGGCTATCTACACTTACATGTATTCCTCAAAATCTGTATGAAAGTGGAGGGTATAAAGGTTGAACAAAAGATTTACTTGTTTCAGGGAGAATGTTCTATTTCCAAGGTAGTAAAAAAAATTATAAGGCTGTATGATAGAAGTGTTTTACTTATTTTTTAATCTTGGAATAACAGACATGATTATTTAAGACAGTAAGAGTCTAGGAGTGCCTCTGTGGCCCAGTTGGTTAAGCGTCTGACTTTTGGTTTTGGCTCAGGTCATGATCTCATAGTTTCTGAGGTTGAGCCTTGCATCAGGCTCTGGACTCCGTGCTGTCAGTGGGGAGCCTGCTTGGGATTCTCTGTGTTTCCCTCTCTGCTCCTCCCCTGCTTGCTCTCTCAAAATAAATACATAATCTTTAAAAAAAATTTAAAAATAAAAAACAGCCTAGTTAAAAACACTAAATATTGACATATTAATATCTTTTTTTTAACTGTTGAGGCTTTCAAGTTAAAGCTTTTAATCAGCAATTTATTGTCTGAAATAAAATTCACATACCATATAACTCACTCATGTAAAGCTTACAATTCATGAGTTTGACATATATTTAGAGATGTGCGACCATCACCACAATCAATTTTAGGACATTTTCATCACCCCAAAAAGAAACTGTATGCCCATCAGGAATCACTCCCCATTTCTCCCATCCACTTCAGCTCCAGGCAACCACTAATCTACTTTGTGTCTTTATAGTTTTACCTATTCTGACTAATTTTTACAAGTAAATTCTTACTTCATATTCTCATTTTGACATCTTGAAATGATTAAGGAATCTATAACTAGCATCTCCTGAAGAGCTCTGTGGATCCGAGTTTCTTATTTTGTATTTGGATTAGTACTGTTGTATTCATAATGAACAGTTCATAATTCCAAACGTTTCTCCACTTCTTTCATTACTTCTACTTGACATATGGCTAATGGTCATATGCTTTGTCTTTTACTGGAAAATTGAACACATGGTCGGCTGATCAAAGATGCCTGCTTTCAGTATACTTAAGTTCCATCTTTATTGTGTGATTGCTAATGTCAGCCTTTTGATTTTAACATTTTCCTGAATTTTAAAAAATATAAGCAAAATAATATAAAATTTGTGGTAACAGATAAATACTTATTCAGCAAATTAAATAGTTAAATAATGGTATACATTTTGCTGTATTGGTAAAATAACAAACCTAGCAGTACCACCATGCTATATCTTGAAGTTATATTAATATACTGATATCTGAAAGCCTGACTTTGGTATTTGGAAAGGTGGTTTTAGGGGTGTTAGTGTATAAAATATGAAGCTGTAGATTATATTAAAGTGAATAGAACCTATAATAAGTCTATAGCCTATACCACAGATTGTCCATGTTATTTGTCTCCTTCCTTCAGTAGAGTTCAGAGTTGGGATTATGTTTTCTTTTTTCCTTATTATAGCCATTGCCAAGTTAAATAGTAGGTACTCAAATATTTGAATGATTTAATGTGAATACATTACTCTAGTACCCTGTGACAGTAGCAAATTTCTATTTTGATGGATAGATGCAACTGTTTTTATTCTGTCTCATCTTAGACATTCAGAAGAGACTGTTCATGGTTCAAGAAGAGTAGATGAAGACACAACAAAAGCCAACCTGTTAATAGCTTAAACCAAAAATTAACTTAAAATTTGAATAACATCTCAAAAAAAGAACAGTTTTTAGTAGTAATCTTTTAAAAATAATTAACAGGGCTGGTGCTAAGACTCATTATAATGTCAGTTCACTGTGGTGTATTAGTCTGCTTGGGCTACCATAACAACATACCACAGATTGGATGGCTTACGCAACAGACAGTTCCAACAGTTCTGGAGTCTCGAAGTCTTAGATCGAGGTCCAACAAAGTCAGTTTTGGGTGAGGAGTCTATTCCTGGTTTGCAGTTGGCAGAGAGAGAGACAGACAGAGAGACAGACAGACAAAGAAATCAGGTGTCTCTTCTTACTAAAACACTAATCCTGTCCTATCTGGGTCCCACCCTTAACATCTCATTTAGCTTTAGTTACTTCATCAAAGGCCCATTTCCAGATATTGCTACACTGGTGATTAAGGATTCCACAGATAAATTTGGGGACACACAAACATCTAGTCAATAACACTGTGTAATAAACTATCCAAAATTTAGTGACTTAAAGGCACAAATGCTTATTTCTCAACATCCTGTATGTTGGTGAGACATTTTTTTGTGGTCCGGGGCTGGATTTGTTATGCCTGGATATTCTAGGCCTCACTCAAGTGTCTGAAGCGTTGCCTGGAAGAGCAGTCGCCTCTCTACATGTGGTATTTCATTCTCAGGAGCCTAGCCCAGTTTTCTTTACTTCATAGTCCAGGTTGTTGGTAACAAGAAAAGGAAGGCTCTAACTGTATAAGCATTTTCAAAGCTTTTGCTGTATCATATTTACTAATGTCCCATTAGCCAAAATATGTCATATTGCAAGCTCAGATTCTAGGGCTGGAGAAATAGATTACACCTCTTCTAGGAAAGGGGGATTAAATCACATTGTAAAGGGACATGCATTTAGGGATGGGAGGAATTTGGGGCCACTTTGCAATTTACTTTACTCAGTTAGTTTGAATTTAAAATATTAGGGTTTAAATAATAAAGAGAATTTGACTCACACCACAGAAAAAGTTCAGCAATAAACCAGTGATCAGATATGGTTCAATCAAGGCTCCGATTCCATCTGTCTTCATCATCTTTAGCACTGCCTTTTCTTTGTGTCTTTTTTATCCTTAGGCTGATGATCCACATCCACATATAACAAGGCCCAGTGGAAGACAGGCTATTTTGTTGGCTGCCTTGTAAGCCCCATGAAACAATTGCTTTAGATGCTATTAGAAATGATAATCAGTTTGACACCTGTTCAGATGAATTTTGAAGTATTTGTCACTTCAAACTTAGTTTACAGCATCAGCTCTTTGGTATCTTTGCTACTTATCTATTGTATATTCATTTTATAGTCATTTTTTGAATACTCTGAAAGGTGTTGCTACAGAGCTGAACAAGTCAGTCTTCACTTTCAGTTTGCTCATGGTACGGAGAAAGTGATAGCAAGAAAAACAAATCACATTGCAGGATGCACAAGAGGTCATGGAGGATGAAAAGAGAACACTGACAAAAGACTGGTATCTCAGTCTGAGAGTATGGGCAGGAAATATGAGGCAGTGTTGTTTGTGCCCAGTACTGGAGAATGAGTCACAGGTACCTAGGGAATAAATGGAAAAATTAGAGACAGCTTGGATAAGCACGTGATAGAAAGTGGCACAGTGAGGGAACATTTGTTGGTCAGAAATAAAATCTTAATATTGTGAAAATTTTCCTGAAGGTAATAGGGCACACTTTAGGGATTTTCAGCAAGAATAGTAAATTTATTGGGTTTGTATTTTGGAAAAGCTCATTCTGGCTAATGAGCATGAAGTGCTTGTAGAGTAGAGGCAGAGCTTTTGTACTTTTAAGATGGAAAGACTTTGAACATATTTGTATGTTGAAGAAAGAGGCCAGTGAAGGAGAAGTTGATAATACAACCAAGGGAGGAGATTAATGATGATGATTGAGGGTGAAGAGGTGAAAAAATTACTCTTAAGTAATAATGGGATATATTTTTTAAATATTTATTGTTGAGAGAAAGAGAGAGAAGTGAAAAGGGCAAAGAGAGAGGGAGAGGATCCCAAGCTCTACATTGTCAACACAGAGCCTGACTGGGGCTTGATCTCATAAACTGTGAGATCTGACCCAAAATCAAGAGTCTGATGCTTAACCTACTGAGCCACCCAGGTGCCCTGTGGGATATTTTATCTTTGGACACTAGAGGGCAGGAATAAGGAATAACTAAGTATTTGGAAAATTGTTAAGGACACAGTTAGTTAATCCTTTGTTATTAGGGTGACGGAGCAAGAGGGAAAGAGATTGAGGCAGAAGTATAGGTTTTGAGGTGATTAATGAAAGTTTGGAATATAGATACCAGACGAATCTTCTGAAACATGCTCTCTTTGACAGTTTTGACTGCTATTGCCTAGTTTTTCTAACTTACTATTTTGTTTTATAGATTGCCTATTTTGAGTTTTCTTTTTGTTTTCTACTTCAGTGGAAGTACTACTTCACTTTTGCCCTCTGAACTTTTAACCTAGGTGGATTAAGTGTGAGGTGCTTTCTTCTTCTTTTTTTTTTTCTTAATAGTTTATTGTCGATTTGGTTTCCATATAACACCCAGTGCTCATCCCAACAAGGGCCCTCCCCCATGCCCATCACCCCCCCTTCCGCTGTCCCCCACCCGCCCTCAGTTTGTTCTCAGCATTCAAGATTTGAATGATTTGCCTCCTTTCCTCTCCCCAACTATTTTCTCCTTCTTCTCCCTCGTGATCCTCAGTTAAGTTCCTCCTAATCCACCTATATGTGCAAACATATGTTATTTGTCCTTCTCTGCCTGACTTATTTCACTCAGCATAACACCCTCAAGTTTCATCCACAGTGCTACACATGGCCAGATTTCATTCTTTCTCACTGGCATGTAGTATTCCATTGTATAGATAAACCACATCTTCCTGATCCATTCATCAGTTGATGGTCACTTAGGTTCTTTCCATGTTTTGGCTATTGTTGATATTGCTGCTATGAATTTTGTGGTACTTGTGTCCCTTTGCATCATCACTCCTGTATCCCTTGGGTAAATTCCTAGCAGTGCTACTGCTGGGTCATAGGGGAGTTCTATTGTTCATTTTTTTAAGGAACCTCCAAACTGTTTTCCAGAGAGGCTGCACCATTTTACATTCTGACCAACAATGGAGGAGGGTGCCTGTTTCTCCACATC